AAAAGACCTATACAAAGAAAATTACAAAACACTGTTAAAAGAAATAAAAGAAGACACCATGAAATGGAAAGACATCCCCTGCTCATGGATTGGGAGAATTAACATCATCAAAATGGCCATCCTGCCAAAAGCAATATACAGATTTAATGCCATCCCAATAAAAATCTCAAGGACATTCTTCAAAGAAATAGAAAAAATATTGATGAGATTCATATGGAACAACAAAAGATCTCGAATAGCCAAAACCCTCATGTCTAAGAAAAAACAGAATGGAGTCATTACAATCCCAAACTTCAAGCTATACTACAAAGCTATAATAATCAAAACTGCATGGTACTGGAACAAGAACAGACATACAGACCAGTGAATTCGATTTAAACCCACGGGTTTATGGACAGCTAATTTTTGACAAAGGAGCAAAGAAGACACAATGGAACAAAGAAAGTTTGTTCAGCAAATGGTGCTGGGAAAACTGGGAAGCTACATGCAAAAAAATGAAACTAGATCACTACCTCACTCAATACACAAAAATCAACTCTAAGTAGATTAAAGACCTAGACATAATAACGTAAACCATAAAATACCGGAAGCAAAGATAGGCCAAGCGCTACACAGCATACACTTCAGCGACATCTTTCAAGATAGAGCACCCAATGCCACAATAGTGAAGGCAAGGATAAATACATGGGACTACGTCAAGTTAAAGAGCTTCTGTACAGCAAAAGAGACATTACAAAAAACAGACAGACAGCCCACTGACTGGGAAAAAAATTTCTCACACAAAACTAGTGATAAAGGATTGATCACAAAAATATATGGAGAACTGACGAAACTCAACAAAAATAAACAACCCCATCAAAAAATGGGCAGAAGAGCTAAAAAGACACTTCTCCAAAGAGGAAATGCACATGGCCAACAAGCATATGAAAAAATATTCAACATCACTGGTAATAAGGGAGGTGCAGATTAAAACCACAGTGAGATACCACCTCATTCCAGTGAGAATGGCACATCTTCAAACAACTTGCAACAACAAATGTTGGCAAGGATATGGGGAAAAAGGAACTCTCCTGCACTGCTGGTGGGAATGCAAACTAGTACAACCACTGTGGAAAACTGTTTGGAGGTTCCTCAAACTGCTTAATATGGAGCTTTTCTAGGACCCAGCAATCCCACTCCTAGGTATCTACCCAAAAGACACAAAAACACTGATTCAAAAAGATACCTGCATCCCCATGTTTATTGCTGCTTTATTTATAATTGGAAAGACATGGAAGCAGCCCAAATGCCCAAAAGTAGATGACTGGATTAAAAAGATGTGGTGCATATACACAATGGAATATTACTCAGCAACCAAAAAAAAAGAAACACATGTCTTTTGCAGCAACTTGGATGGAGCTGGAAAAGATCATGCTTAGTGAGATAAGCCAGAAAGAAAAAGAAAAATACCGGATGGTTTCGCTCATAGCAGCAGTATAATGGACCAGGTGAGAAAAATCATAAGAATAATGAACCATATACCAGAGACATTTTGTGGGAGGAAGGGAAGTGCACGGGACTATGGTGATGACACATGGGTGACTTGGTGATGGGAAACCCATGGGGATTACAACTGATGAAAAATAAATGTACAAAATGATGTAAAAATAAACTATTATATAAAAAAATAGTGGTGTTTCCCATTTAAGAAGTAAGAACAAGATCACCTGTTATAATGATTACCATACTGGTTTAACATTTCTGAAGGAAAAATAGACTCACATTGTATTTTTCAACATAGAATTTTTGAACCTGGATTCATTGTACCGTTTTCTCTCTACTTTGTTTTCAAATATTCTGTAATAAAATGTTGTTAATGATTTTGTATGCATACCAATAGAAAGAATAATATATATATGCATATACACATATATATTTTTATATATTCAAACAAAAATGTCTGCTACTTCTAAGAAATACTCCAAAAACAAAATTACGTAGTTGGATTCTGAAATGTGTGCTTAATACAATACTAAGTGAAGTAAAAATACATGTAGTAAATATATATTCACACATATATTTGAGCATGTGTATACAGATATACCAAAATGTTAATAGAGATTGTCATTTTGTATTTATTTTCCAGATTTATACATTGAACATGTATTAATTTTATATCAGAGAAAGTATTTTTATAATTAAGGACCATGATTATATGATTGAAAGAATAAAAGTTAAATGTTTGCTTATTTTGTAATTGGTTTTTTTTATAGGGGCAATAACTATGGCTCTGCTAGAAAACCTGGTGGCAGGAAATGTGTACATTGTGAAGATATCTGCATCCAATGAAGTGGGAGAAGGACCTTTCTCAAATTCTGTGGAGCTGGCAGTCCTTCCAAAAGAAAATTCTGAATCAAATCAGAGACCTAAGCGGTTAGATTCTGCTGATGCCAAAGGTCTGTATGCTGCTAATTCACTAATTTTTCTTAAGAAAGCCCAGATATCCCTTTCACCTCCCAATATTTTTTTCTGTGCCTACCATGGCCATTTCCCAAAGCATGCATTCAGTTCCTTGGTTTGTTGCTGGTTTGGTTCTGATGTTATGAACCTGCAAGGCCCTTCTCTGTACCCCTAGAGGGAAGCAAATCTACCTGAAAATTAATTGTAGTTTTCAGACTATGTCCAGTTATTACTTTTTATGAGCTGTGCAACCACCAAAACACACTAACCACAACAGCAGTGAACTGAGGGGAGGAGACTTCCTGGGAGGTTTCGTGGGTATAAACATCAGTGGTAGCTGTGGTATTCAAGCTAAGAAGAGCCTGGCTTTCATTAAGAATTTTCACATCACACATACACTTACACTCAGATTTTTCAGAGAGAAAGTTGTTCCACTCCAGAAAACAACTGGAAAACTGTCATACTTAGTTCACTAAGAGAAACTGTCCTATTCTGAAGGAAACCAAGGGGCCCTCTGTGGTACATAACTAGACATTTCCTCCTTTCTGGAGGAGTAGACCTGTGGTCAAGGAGGGTATACAAACATTAAATAGAGGAATATCTAAGTGAACTCAGGATAGGATTATGGGTTCATAGCCCCTATGTGGGTAATTATACAGTGATCTCTGGTGTGTATGAAGGGTAGAAGGAGTCCTGGCAGGGAAAACTGAGAGTAAGATTCATACTCAATTCTCAAATATTTAGTTACTCAAAGTATCTAGGGACCAGCAGCATGAGAAAGCTTGTTAAACATGCAAAATCACCGAACCCACTCTGGTGAATTAGATTCTGCATTTTAACATATCCCCTAGAGACTTATATACACATTAAGGTTTGAGAAGCAAATGTAGGTAAGTAAATGAAAAACTAATCTCCCATACACAGATACGTTTTTAGAGTAATAAAATGAAAACTACCCTTTGGTCGCATCAAAGAACATTGACGCTTGATGCCTTTTAGCACTGTAAAACTGATATTCACATTTGATGTGAGACCACATTTAAATTCTTCAGTATTGGAAGATAAAGTCATCTTTGAGATCACTGACAAAAAAAAGTAAAATGTGTCTTTTCTGTAAGATATTGAAAAGGTCAAATGTTTTCCTGTGTGAAGAATATATGGAATAGAAAATATCTGGAATCATTTATTTTTCTTATTGATTCTGATGTGTTTCATCTTCTAGTTTATTCAGGCTACTACCATCTTGACCAGAAATCAATGACTGGCATTGCTGTTGGTGTCGGCATAGCTTTGACATGCATCCTCATCTGTGTTCTCATCTTGATATACCGAAGTAAAGCCAGGTATGTTGCTATTGATAAAGATTGATAAGTAGTTAAAATTAAGGTATAGTAACCACAAGGAGCAAACTGAAATCAATTTTAGAGTAACTTTTAAATAGTGACAACCTTTAGTGTAACTGGGATTTTCCACTTCAAAATAAATAGTTGTCAATTGATTTAACAGCTATAGAGTTGTGTTCATTTTGGAAAGGAATTGTTTTTCTTGTTATTTGAGAAAATTAGTGTTTCATTAAAATCCTCTTTAAATCAGGCAAAGTATAATTTGGTTTTATTTTTTAAAATGACACACTTAATGGGATATATCTACAGATTTTTAAGGATTCCTTACTGCTTAGGGTATTTTCATATTTAAGTGTCCTGAGTCACTGAGAAACCACCCTCCCTCTCCCCCACCATCACAATGGGACATATGGTTGGAATTGTCCATACATGAGTTAAAACAAATGTATTAACTAGGTAATGGTCATCTGTAAAGTCTGTTATGCAGTCTCATCTCTACTTTGAGTAGTTATATTAACAACATTACATGAACTTGTCTGTTTCTAATCTTTTATATTTTGGCTTTTGCTTTCATTTATTTTCTTCATGTTCTCAAAGCCAAATGTGTATCACTTTTAGGTAATCCACATCACTCAGCTCCTTCCAATTGCATTGGTTATTCAGCTTACTCTATATGTGTTTGGTACTTGTGCATAAAAATACACTCACAAAACTTCACAATGAAAGAGTTATTGTAACATCTTTTTTTATATTGAACTATTTTAGTTTTCTTATTTTCAGAACTTTAAAAATAAAATTAGGAATTATTTTAATGATGTATAAATCTTACAGATGTGGTACTTTAAATTATCCTTTGTTAATTGTCAAGTGAATTGTTATATTAGTGTGAAAATATGCATATCTAAAGAACATGTAAGTAAAAAAATTATTTTTGTATAAATTATAATCAACAATAATGAATAATAGTATTTTGTAAATATTAAAGTTTTATTATGTTTATAAAAATAATTTTAATTTAAAATAAGCAGATATTGAGGCAAAAAGAAATAAAAAAGCTTCCTCAGATCATAAAAGTTAGAATCAATGATTGGAGTTAAAATCTAATACTCAATTACCAAAGATAATTTGAGAAATGGATATTAAAGAGAACCCCATTGTTTGCAAAATTGTGATTATGGGGTAAGTTGGTACATTTGCCTGTATCTTTGAAATTAGATGTTTCCTTTTCTTGTACTATTTCAGGAAATCATCTGCTTCCAAGATAGCACAAAATGGAGCTCAACAGTTATCTCGTACCAGTACCTCCCTAGCCAGTGGAAATGAAGTAGGAAAGAACCTGGAAGGAGCTGTAGAAAATGAAGAATCCTTAATGCCAATGATAATGCCAAACAACTTTATTGATGCTAAGGTATTCTAAGCTGAGAGATTACTTGCTGTGTCATTCTTCCATTCATCTGCCCTTTGTGTGCAGAATTTACTTATCAAAAAATTATATGTTGAATATTTTATATCCCTGCTCCATTTAGTGAAGCATTAAACAATTTCACTGAGATTCTTCTTCATGTGAAATATTTGAAGAGGAAGAAATAGGGGTAGATAAAGGATAAATGGATAAACAAAGAGATATAGAAAAGAAGATAAGATAGCATAAATTCAAGTAGATGGCATTGTAATATGTCTTAAATAAGCAACCTTTGGCATAATTTGGACTGCTCTATTTACTAAATGGACAATTTTTAAAAAATTTTTTTAAAGGTTGCATTTTTTCTTTTTTTTTTTCTTTGTTTTTTAAAGATTTATGTATGCCTACAGAACTGGAATACAAGCCAGAGGCAGTGAGAGAAGGCAGTGAGAAGATTCACCACAGACAAGAGTGGGGAGCAGTGGGCGGGTCAGAAGAGGTCTGCCACACCATGTGGATTACCTTCCCCAGGGGTGGAACTTGCACTGAAGCACTGTGGCTAGTTTGCAGTGCTGTGCTCTAACCTGTTGCACCACCAGGGAGGGCCATGACAGTTTTTTATTAATCCAGTTTACACTTAATTTGGTTGATTTTTAAAAGTGAATTAAGCATCATTACATACCAGGTGTGAGTGACTTTTTTGAAAAATATAGAGCATCTCAAGAGATATTTAAAGAGCCTTTCCTTTATGGGCTGAGAAAGCTTAATATAATAAAGAGATGTCATTGAACTATGCTCCCTTACATTCTTTCCATGGTATGTAATAATAGTACAAAGGTAAGCATTATGTCTACCAACTGAAAATTTTTACATTGCAGCATTAGATAATGTTCATTATAGCAGTTCTCAAAACCAATGCACTATATAAATCAGGTGTCAGGAAACTACAGCCAGGCCAACAACCCCTTTTTGTAGTGTCACTACCTGAACTAAGAATGTTTTTTACATCTGAAAAGATAGTTTTAAAAGAAAAGGGAAAAGGAGGAAATACCATACTGGCTTTATATAGTCTGCAAAGCCTAACATTTTTACAATCTGGCCTTTACAGAAAAACACTGTCAGATTCCATCATGAGTTATTTTTCTCCCACCCTTCCCTAATATTTAGAAGAGCAAAAAAAAAAAAAACAAAATTCTAGACAATTTTGATATTAAATTTTATGCAATTATATTAATAGAAACAATCTCTTATATTTAGCCTAATATCATAAATATATATTTTAGGAGTACATAGCAATTCTGGAGTACATAGCAATGAATTGATTTTTGCTCTTCCTGTTGTCTTTTTTGCTGCAACTTAATTTAGCTTTTTAATTTTTTAATAAAATTTTTAATAAAATTTTACTTATTCCAAATTAATCTAAAATATTAGAATCTAACCCCTTCAGTCAATCATGTAAAATGCTAAAATACACTATTATTCTATTCTACTATAACTAACTTGAAACTGAACTTGAGAAAGGATAGGGAGAAGTGGTATGGGAGAAAGATCAGGGAAAAAAAATCCAATGTGAAAAGAAGCAGAGCAGAATGCGTTCAGAATTGCAGGAAAGAAACCAATTTGAAGGTCAGATCTCTCAGTTCCTTTGGGTCAGCCTAAGAGTTGATCTCCCATCTATTTAATATATTTTGTTGAATGTGGTTGGGGCTTTTTTCCAGTAGCTTTTTAAAAAATTCAAATTTGTGGAAAGGTTGAAAGAATAATATAATGAATGCACAGTAATTGTAAATCTTGTATCCTATTTCTATGTCTCTACTTTTGCTTACTATTCCATTTAAAAATAAGTATTAGAATAATTTTATATATATATCATAAATATATACAGACACTATACATACACACATACACGTATTTACTTATTTATCAATCCATTGCATCTGTCATCCCTTAAGAATAAATTTAACTGTTCATTTTTGATCACTTCAAATACTTGAATTTTTTGGTGTGCTATGTATATAAAAAAAATAGTGATATCTTATCATTTTTTCTTTTAACATGTAAAAGGTTATATATATTATTTGTGAGAAATAGAAAGCTAACATATTTACATTTCCCCTTTTTATTTCCAGGGAGGAACTGACCTGATAATAAATAGCTATGGTCCTATAATTAAAAAAAACTCTAAGAAAAAATGGCTTTTTTTCCAAGATTCTAAGAAGATAAAAATTGAACAGGTAAACCACCTAAATGAGAAAAAATCCTGGCAACCCATGGTGTATAAAAAGATAAACAGAAGCAAATATTAGTTAATGTATTATTTTAATTTCTGTATTCTTTCTTGAGATACTTTTATTAATATGGGTTGTGATTCTGTAGAAAGCCAAGGTGTAAAATGTCAGTGAAGTGACAGTGGAAATAGTAATCTGAATTATGGTATTCAGTGGGGAAGGAGTGGCAGTGGAGAAAGAGATGGGGTAGGAGCATGCATCACAATCATGGAAGAGGCCTTTGACTCTTCATTTGTTGAAAGTGACTCCATGACTCCCACTAGTTATTGGGAAACCACTGACCTAGACAATCCCTCATGGTCATGACCTTTCTTTCACCAATGTACCTGAATTCTTTGCTATCTCAGAAGGCAGCAGTTCCTCAAAAAGTCTCCTTGTTTCTTTCAGTGTCATTATCTCGTAACAATGACACTGAAAAAGTCTACTCCTGGCTAGGGCCACTGTCTGTGTGAAATTTCTGTGGTCTCCCATTTCTTGGTGGGCTTTCTCTTATCCAATTTTCTCCAACATCTCAAAGATGACACATTAAGTTAATTGGTTTCTGATTGCCCACTATGACTGTGTGTATGTGTGTGTGAGAGAGAGAGAAATGCGAGAGGAGCACAGGTGCCCATCCTGCAGTGTGAAGTGGAAGGGTGTCCTGTCCTAGGTGTTTCTTCTTTGCACCCTGAGCTGGCAGGATAGGCTCTGGCCACTCTAGACCCTATCTTGAAATAAGTGAGTTGGAAAGTAGATGAACACAAATAGTTGTTTAATAATAGAAGGATTTTGTGCCTATTTAGAAGTTTACTGATGTGATTGTAAACAGAAATAATACTGCAGGAACTTAATTTGTATTAGCCTACAGCACGAATTAATTTCCATATACATTGTTTCACGTAAGATCTCAGTTTCAAGAACTTACCTAAGACTTACTGTATATTGAGTTTGTAAGAATAGATTTATCATCTTCCAAGAGCATTCTATCATCTCTGACAATGTTTTATGTATTTTTGCCTAGCCTCAAAGAAGATTTACTCAAGCAGTCTGCTTTTACCAACCAGGCACTACTGTATTAATCAGTGATGAAGAGTCCCCCAGCTCTCCAGGCCAGACAGCTAGCTTCTCAAGACCCTTTGGTGTTGTAGCTGATACTGAGCATTCAGCAAATAGCGAAGGCAGCCATGAAACTGGGGATTCTGGAAGATTTTCCCAGGAGTCCAATGATGAAATACACCTGGCCTCAGTTATAAGTACAACACCCCTGACCTCCAATTCCTTCGCTGGCAGTGAGTCAGGGGGGGATCCCTCAGAGAGGAAATGTGAAGAACCTGCATTGCCATTGGATGCTGAGCAAACTACATCCCCTTCTGCTGTGCAACCACCATCTGCCGTCCTCTGCTATGACAAAAGTGATTTTCCAATCTAGTCAGCCATATTCAGGTATTCTCACCTGTAAATCTGTTCGAAGGACAATGAACAGGGAGCCAAAGCCTTTTGTGAAAATCTATATGTCTTATTGGGTATTGCAGCTTTTTTTGAATGTGTTTTTTATTTTTAAACTCACATATTTTGAATGTTTCTTTGTCAGCAATGTGAAAAGACAGTCAAGATATTTGACTGGATTAAAAAATATTATCACTGGAGCAAAGGGAAGACTTTTGAAAGTCCCTTTGCTGACTATCTACCTCAGTTTGCCAAATGGCAAACTCAGAAGACAACTTTATTACCTCACTTGTGATAGTTTATCTCAGCTATATAATCAATGATACTTCCTAGTAGCATTTTGTTTTCATTGCTGTATGTGTAATGTGTGTGAGTGAAGGAGCAAAGGTGGATGAGTAAGAATGTTTATCTGAAGCTCTGATTTTTTAAGAAATTGTGATGTCTGCATGGTTTGGGTCGTTTAACATCTCTGGCTGTGAAGATTGCTAGACCAAGGAGAAGGAGAAAAGTGGGACTATTGATGATAATACATAGCCAAAACAAAAAGAGTTACCATTTAAGAACAGAACTACTCAGTAGCACGTGGGAAATACTATCACTTAAGAGCCCTTTGTGTTTTAGGCCTTAGAGCCTGAGTGCTTGATCTGCTGTGTCCCAAACATTAACCTGCTAGAACAGTGCCTTTCCCTTTCCCTGACAGTTGGCCAAAGGCTGCACTGTCTAGTTTGCAAAGTATCCTTAGTATTTCCAGTACTAGTTGCAAGACTCTGTGCAAAAAAATCAGATTTTTAAAAACAGTGGGTATGATTGTATTTTTTTAATCCCAGTTTGGCTTAAAGGAATGAAGAAGTTTCATGAACTATTAGGAATGAAGAAAATGCAACAGTAGACAGTAAAATGAACTTGAGGTTATCATTGTAACAGTGCCTTCCAAATTATGAAATTCTTTGCCTTATACCTTTTGAATATTCATGAAGTGTTTAGGACACGAATACAGAAAGTTGCCTTAAGAGTTTCTTGGAATTTACCAAAAACTGATTTGATATATAGAATCAAAATAGCATTTTGGTTTCTTTTAATGCAGGTTTTGTTTAGGGACAAGTAGTCAGAGCCATACCAACTTACTTGTATTTTCTTGAATTCTTAAGAGAATTTGGTACTTTCTATCTAACCTTCCTTCAGTGTCAATACTGTGAATGAGGAATGCTAATTCCAGGAGTAAGTTAATCCTCTTGCTCTTTTGAAGCCATTATGCTCTTTACTCAGTCACAGAAAACAAGCTTTCTGTTGTCATGAGACACTTACTTACTAGGTTCCCAGTAGTGGGAGAAGATGAAAAGTTAAATATATGATGCCTAGAGAGGGCCCCGTACCATTGTAAAAGTGTTTTTTCAAATTACCTGGAAATGATTTTAGGAGTCATTTTAAAAGGAATCTTAATGGGCTTCCCCCTTTTGTTTATAGTAGGTGTCATATTAAATGGTGTTCTCAAATCAAAGGAATATTGCTGCAGAATAGTCCCACCTCCATTGTCTCCTAATTCAATATCAGGTGACAGAACTGTTTTAATTGTTTTTTTAACCTGTCATTTTGTGCCAAACTGAGTTTGTTCAGAAGCAGACCAACAGTAAGTGCCAGTAACCACTCTGAGCAAAATTCAAAGCCCCCCTCATTTAGTTGTGTAAGTGGGCTTTATGGCAAAACCAAAAAAGCAGAGCTTTAGGTGAACAATCTGAGGCAAGGAAAAATGCTGCTTCTGCCTTTATAGCTCCTGTTTTATACTACCTCCTTTTTAAAGTTATTCTAGTATTATTTTTTTTCCTGTACTCAGGGAACATTTCGTTACTTTTGAGCTGCCTCATGGAAACATGGGCAAATTGACAGGGTATGGCGTTTTTTGGTTTGTTTATGTAGAAGTAAGCGGGGCCAACTTTTATTAGTATCTAAAATTAAGAAACACAACAGTTCATTTTATTTCTTAAACTTTTCTTAAAAGCAGATTCTGAAGCTGAAACATCATCCATCCTGGTTATGGAAGATATTTCTAGAACTGAATGAATGTGAATTGTTTTTAAAGCTTAAAAAAATGATCTGAAGTCCTTGAACTTAGTGTTTTGTTTGGTTTGTCTTGATAAGTAGGCCCATAGTTATTGTAGATCTTTAGGCTATAACTACTTGCTAATTATTTACCAGTACATTTATTACCTTTCACCTCTTCATTTTGTTCTTATACAAATTTTTTCATAATAATTCTGCTACCAAAGAATTTTTAGTAGAAGTAAAAACTTGACTATACTTCCAAACTCAAATTGAATTAACTATAAACAACTATAGTTATGAAGCTTATACAAGTAGTTACTAACCCAAAACAGTAGGGTTTATATTGATTGTTGTAGTTAAATAGACTAGTAATTTTAACTACCTTATTGTTACCAGAGCATTTAAAGTAAGATCTTTACCAGCAGGTAGTTCCAAAGAATTTCAAATCTAATATTTTTGTTCAGCAAGTAAGTCTTCAACTATACAGTGTTAAAGTGTTTTTAAATTGTTGAAACTACTTGTTGCATAGAAAGAAAAAACCTTCTTACCAAAGATAACTATTTTGGTCTCAATTAATAAGATAACCAGCAAAGACTTTTTACTTGGCCAAAGCAAGCTTCTCTGAAGTTTTAAGTATGAAATAATAACTAAAATGTGAAGGTTCTCACTTAGTTCTCATAGTAGAGTTACCTCATGCTTTTTTCACTCGAAGGGGCTAATATGCAAATGGTAACTATTTTCTTTCCCAGAGACATACTTGCTGTAAGTACTGATAGATGCATGTCATTTTTATGTCAAATATTCTACAAGATACTGCTCATCAGTATTTTCATACCAAAGACCATTAAAATATATAGAGTAGCCTGTAAGTAAAGATGAGCAGATTTGAAATAAATTTATTTAGAGGCTGATAGAAAATCTAGCTTTAGTAACAAAAGATATCAAAGGGCTAAGTTTACATAATTAAGAGCAATACAAGTATATTGGTATTTATCAGTGTTTTTGTGCAAGTACTTTTTATCAGCAAATTTTAAAAAACCAAAGATATTTAAAGTTACCTCTGCATATAGGCAAATTTAGTTGTACATTAAACTGTTGTTTACTGTTTTTATGTCAACCAAACATGTTTCTCCAGAGCCCAGTCTATATACAAATAGCATACGTAGGAACTTTCCATTAGATTTGCTGATTCAGCCACAGGATGTTTTTGCCAAATGATGTGATACTTTCCTAAGCACCTTGAGTGTGAGATGTCAACAGAAATATCAGCAGACTTTTCCATTGCAAAGCATTATGGCAATCCCTGAATTAGCCTTTATGTCTTCTTCCTACTTAAAGCATTACCGAGTTAACTCAGAATTCTTGAGGCAAAGGCTTTTCCCCTTTGGGGAGCAATGAAACTGTGACAGGCAAACAGAGCCTATCATTATTTAGGTGCACTACCTTGATAGAAGTGTTTTTTAAAGTTGTCTATAACCTAAAATATTCCATTCTGTCATGGAATCTTATGCATTTCAAACTTCACTCAAATCTTTTGTGGATTACCTATGTCATGAAACAAAATCCGTTTATGAATTCTGAAGTTTTATATTTTCATTAGCCTGAAAATAAGGATACAACTTTATCTATGAAGTGACTTTTAAAACCAGTTTGGTACACCAAGAAAATTAGATCATCAGTGAAATGCCTTTTATTTGCCTTTGCTTCAAACAAGAGCAGTGCCAACATTGGGAACAATGACAGAGCCTTGACTTTGATAAGGATTGCTGCCAGAAAACTGCTTGTGGTTGACAACTCAGGATCATTATTCAAGTCAATATGAAGACATCTTTGGAAACAATTCAGAGTGTCACAGAAAGATGGAATTGAAATTATCTTTTTTTTTAATGCAAGAATATCTGGATGTGCTTCCAAGTTCAGCAGTAGCTGTTATGATTCACATGAACATTTACATTGCATTGAATGTAAAATTTGAATGCTGAATGTAACAAGTCAAGTTCCAGCTATATCAGGAGAGTCATGATCTTTCTAAGACTAAACCTGTATTTTTTATACTTTGTCCCTGACATTTTTTCACATGGGTCTCTAGTAAAATTGCTTTGATTTATTTAATAGTCAATTTGTTGTCTGTGGGCAGAGGCAGGATGGTTCTGGAGATCACCATATGCAACCAGTTGTGTAATTGTGAATTTTATTGATGAACATATTGAAGAACATATACATAGACTTTGGTGTTAAATTGATTTATGCTCAGGACTTTAGATCATAGGCTAATGCAGTGTATGTGTTTACAGGCTTTAATCTTATCAGGTAGTTTCCCTTTTAATACCTTTAAAGGTGTTTTAAGATTAACATAACAGTCTTGCATTTATACTGGACAGATTGTTTTTTTTTTTTTTTTTTGTCATTGTCATACAAGATAGCTACAATTTTAGTAGCCAAAACAATACACCTTTATTATCTTACAGTTCTGTGGTTCCAAAACTATCCATAGGTCTTACTGATTAAAAAGTTGTTAGCAGGGCTGAGTTCCTTCTAGAAGCTCTAGGAAAGATCTTTTCATTGTCTTTTCCAGGTGTAGAAGTAGTGGATTCCATCTTCCCCTCTTCACAGTCAGCTATGTAGCATCTCTGATTCTTCTTCCTTTATCCTGTTTCTTTTTCAGAACTTAAGAGGGAAAAAAGGTTCTTCAATTTTAAGGATTTGAACAATTAGGTTGAGCCCATCTAGATAATCCAAGAATGATCTCCCCGTCTCAAAATTCTTAATTACATCTACAAAATCCCTTTTGCCAAGTATGATGATAAAAAAGGGATTTGGTCATGGATTTCTCTGGTCAACCATTATTTTTCTATCTCAGATACATTATTTCTGTATTGTTCTGACCCCATCAAATGTATATAGCATTACTGAGGTGGAAGTCTGAGGTTATTTATTGGAGTA